ATAACATTTCATTCCTAACAAAATTAAATAGTATACTTTTCCCAAAACAGTTTGCTCAGAACAGTTTTAATTTGAATGAAATGTTTTCGCAAGTTTTCTTTAAATACATTATAAAGAAATTTCAGGGTAATTCAATTTATTCGATTAACGATTACAAAAATTGAAATTAGTGTATTATTAATATTAAAATTACGTATTGTTTCTTTTCTATTCACAGAGCTTCTTTCTAAAATACTTTCTCAAGTACGAGATGATTTTCAGCTTCTGAGACATCGTTTAAATCAAAAATCATAGTCACTCTATAACTAATGCTCTGCTCGATTCATTTCAAATTACAGCACATTTTATTTTAATAGTGAAATACTTAAAATATCGCTGCTGAATTTTAATTTCCATGTGCTTAACTTTCTTTGAGTATATCTGGAAGGGATAAAAGGGGATTGTTAATGTATTTAAAACTTGTAAATTTCAACAATACACATTCTAAGAATTCTACTTTACTTCCTTAAGTATGCATCTCATAATATATTGTGCTTTACAATGCCTTTTAATAGAGTGTTTTTAGGTACGAATAATTTTTGCTTATATACTTTTATAAATATATTTGTCAACAGAATCTCAGTTTATGTTTACAGTTAAATGTTAAGATCATTATATATTTAGATAATTTTCATATTCATTATAAATTTAGACATATTTAATAACTAGATTTCTTCACAGTAACATTCACAGGATTTATAAATGAATGAATAAATCCTTCGTGATAAATGAAGCCTTAATGGCAAATAAATCCTTCAGCGTTCAGACACTTTAACGCTGGGCCACTGGTGAGCCAAACTAAAGATCCTTCCTGTAAGGACGTTTATGCGCACGGTATACATATCAATATATAGTTCCTTCTGATCATTCTCAGATAGTTAAATTAGAAATTTAATTTTAGTCTTTATATTATTAGACAGTTTTGTTAAATTTATTATGGTATTATGCTTTTTTGCCTATTCATTGCTAACTTATTGAATACTGGTAAAAGTGAACAGAAGAAGGAAGCAGTAAACGCGTTAACACCCCGTTTTACCAAAATAATACCAGAAGTAACAGAGCACTGTAACAGTGAGTAAACAGTTTATTTATGTCGTGCTTGAAAAATTAAGCATCTTTTAATGCGATGAAGCTTATGAATGAATAAATCCTTCATTTCCAAATACATTTATGAGTAATTTAATAAATATAGTATTGTTAAAGGCGAATGCGTGATTTTTACAAGGATATGAATAAATACCCCTATATATTTATTATTTTCTAATTTTCGACATGCGGAAATCTTTAATTTCTGTCCATTCACTACATTTTTTTATTAAATTTACAATAATATATCTGAATGTTTTACATAATATGTGTACATTGAATGAAAATTGCATGCATTATTTTTAATACACAGTTTTCCTTCGAAACTTCTCCACGAAGACACCTCGTCCCTTAGGCAGATAGCCCTTCCTCGCTTTACCGTATTTAAGGAATTTAACATGACTTATGTGCTAATTACAAATATTTTAACAATCATAATTTTATATTTACATTTAGCCATCAAATTTCAAAATTTTGACTTAAAATACTATTTTGGATACGTTCATTATCACATTCAAATTTTCTAGTAAATATATTTTGGCAAAGCATTCAATACCTCTCTTAGAAATGTTATTCAGTTTAATAGTTCTCTGATAATATGATAAATAACAACTATTCATTTTACATTTAAACAGTAACTTCATAGTCATCAGATCACAATCTTGATTGCCTTACTCTGCATATTAATATTGCTTCATTTTTTGAAACAGTTGAAATGACTAGTTGATCTAAATTCATAAATACCTGAATTTTACATATTTGAAGGTAACTCAAAAGGTTCAAATATGCAAAATGCATTGATATACAGGTTAATAACATTCATTGTGATTTTTTCATATCTTGAAACTGTTTCAAAAGTAGCGACCCGTACTAAAATTTTTCTCCTTTTATTAGGGATGAGATTAAGAAATAAAAATGGGTTACGTTTTATTCAGCAGTATATGCATTGAATAACGAAGATTTTTCATATAATTTTGTATTACATTTATTCATCAATTAAACATGTTGCTGAATAAGAATTTTTTAAAAAAGAAAGGGAACTTAACTTTGATATTTTTTCCTTATAACTCTGTTAATCACTGGGCATGAAATAAGACAAGTTTTGTATACAACTGCGCATAGATACTGAATTAATTACTTTTCTTTTTCAAATGTATCAGAGAATTTTATAAAACAAATTCATAATCGAAACCGGTGTTGCAAATTATCTAAAAATAACTAAGCTGTGATTTTTGCGTAAATGCCACTAACTAACCTGTACACATTTCTATTACCCATTCAACAACGAATGATTCTTTTATGCGGAAGTGTCCTCGCTTTTTGATCTGTGTGGAATTGTCGTGGGTGGAAGTGTTACTAAATCTCTGTCAACGTAACATGCTCTGAATGTAAACAAAATACATTCTTTTTGGCTACTAAAGCTCTGCGTCGGGCGTAGTGCAGGCATGAAGTCTTCTTTTATTCTTACTTCCATGATAATAACGCTAATCTTCCCTAAACATTAATATAGTTATAGATCTTGAATATTTCTTTCCTTTCAAACTCGTTTTAAAGTAATGCGAAGATAAAAAAAAAAACAGCACTTAGCAACTAACGTATCGCTAATACGCTATTTTTTCACGTTTTCCAGTCTAAAGCGAACAGCAAGAAATAACGATATTATATTTTTTCTTTGATATCGCTCTTATGAAAATGTATTTTGAAAAACTGTGAATTTCTGCGTACCACAATGGACATCAGCTGTAAGGAAAATTTTCTCCTTTTCCTTCTATATGCCCATTTTTTTTTTTTTTTTTTTCCCTTCTCTCCACTACTTTTAGGCCAGTTATTTTAATTTTATTTTGTCCCATCTTTTCTTCCTGGCCTTTTGAATTCGTATAAAATGTACGAAGTTCCTTTTTACGCTACTCTGAAACACGAAAATTGCCCCTCTTTCTATATACCTTTCCTTCGCACCTAAGCTTGATTTTTCGCCGATCAGTGCAGAAAGACTTAGTGGGTGCAAAACAAGACATCTGTCTACTTTGTCTGTCAGACATGATTGGCATACTTTGTCTGTCTGTCAGACATCCAGTAGTTCCCATTTCTTTATGTTACGTGCGAAGCATTGTTTATAATTTAGATAATAATTAACAAGATAGCAATGAAAAAAATCAGTAGGCGAAAATGATATTACTTAAAGCTTGTTTTTTCATTAAGAGTGACCACACACTTTGTTAAATTCTTCTGTGTATCACTAAAATGTTGTAACACTAACTTTCTGCTATCTCACTTCATATCATACTTCATATATTCTTATTTATTTATTTATTTTCATTTATACTTATTTATTTTTTGCAGAAACGGGCTGTTTGGCAGTTTGACTATTTATCAGACCTGACAAGCTAAAGATTTTGTGCAAGTTCCATGCTCTTAGCTGCAAAATCATTCAAATTACATGAGTTTTTATAGTTGATTCTTTAATTTTTTCTGCTAGTGTATTTGAAACGCTATGTATAGAAAGGAGCTGGGTGGCATACTGTATAACTACATAACGCATGGAGGAAGTGTAGAATTTATCTCCATGGCACAGATGTATTTGAAATTCCTATGCGGGAACATAACACAAAGTCTAAAAGAGGAAATGCCACCGCTTTATGTGGCATCACATATGAAGCAGTTTCTCCTCAATACAACTGGCCAAGACCGCTATTTCAGCATTGCACGTCTCCTTATTTTAAGGGCCGAACACCAGCACATGGATTGCTTGGATATTTAAAGTCACTGATTTAAACCAGATTCTCTAAATAACCATGCAGATGCATTCACAGACTGCACTTCGCTGATGCAGTGAAAAGATGCTAATAGCAGTAACATTTTTACCATCTACCTGTGCAACTTAAATTACTATTGGACGATTTTATTGAGTAAGTTCCATTTGAAATCGAATGTAGTTTTTTGACTGCGATGTTTACTGTAGATCTTTATCATGAAAATGTGAATTATTTAAGATTTTTTTTTCAACGGGGGGGGGGGACTCGTTACTAATTGCTTTCGTGCAAAAAGGATTTCGTTATGCCTATCTGTTAGATTTTTGTCAATTTTTTAGAGCTTTTATGAACCTTAATATATGGATATATTTATGCGTAACGTAATATTTATTTCCGCAATGGTGAAGCCCCGGGTGGGCTTTACAAAAGTACTTAATTCGTTATCGACAGGAAAAGAAAATTTACTTAACAATCAATCTGTTTTAAATTTTGCGAAATTTTTGGTTGAATGAAATCAATTAAAATTCAATTAGAAAATTTCCGTTTAACTAAAATTTTTATTCAATGAATTGTTTACTAAAAAAAAAAATCATTCAGCAACTTCATTCTCCGGAAGATCTCAGGATCAGTCATTAAAGATAAGTTTTATTCATCGGTAGGTCTCCTTTTTCTGGTATAACAATTTATCTTGCATTGAGTGAACTAGAGAATATATGTGCAAGGCAGTTGTATATTAAGCTAAAATGTAAGACTGTGGTACTGATTTCAACTTTAATTTCATATTTGTAACTAGAAAAATTTCGCTCTGAAATCTCTTCTGCATTTGAAATGAAGTTGTTCATCTTTCTTAAAACAGTGAACCTTCTTTTTATGTAGAAGTTATCAATTATTTCTTTAATTAGTTATATTTAAAATTTATTTCCCATTTCTCTTGAATTCGTGCGTTAGGGTAAAAGCACAAGATAAATAATTCTGTCGAATCAAAATTTCAACCTTCGTCCTATGTAAATAGTACTCTGGTTTTCCGATAGAGTAGTTTTCAGAATAAAAGTATGTCTTTTAGTTATAATTAATACACACATTACCAGAAAATTACTAACGCAGAAAGCTAAAAAATGGACTCACCTCTCATCAAATCACCGCGGGTTGGACTTCTGTGGTTTATATCAGATAGGTAAGATCCTCTGACACAGTAGTCTACAAGAGGTTGTGTATGACACAGGCACTGCAAAACTGCGTTCATAAAGCACTGGGAAACAAACAAAAAAAAATGTCCGTCTATTAATAACGCTACCCTTCATATAACAGAATATTTATCGGAACTGAGCAATGAGAAATCTGTTTGTTTCCTTATTTCCTTATATCAAATGCATAAGACGAAAGGCGTAAAAATGGGCAGGCTTACATTTTACATAGCATACCAAAGAAGGATTAAAACGTATTTGGAGACTAGTCATTATTTTTTATATGCAGTTAAATAAAGCTTAATGCAGGATTAAAATCGTGTACATTTTATTAAAAATACAAGATTAAGATAACAATTTAATAATTATTCAACGTTAACGTTTGGGAAGCACCATAAGACGGGTTCTTTGATATATATCTCATGAGAGGCAGTCTTTTATATTCTAAAAATAAACCAAATTGTTTCTGTAAACTGTTCAATATTATGTGATTGAAATTGGTGAGATAATAAAAGTATAATTTGTTTTATTACTTTCTATCGCTACTTTCGGTAAATTAGTTACAGCGTTTAGATAATTTCTCCAGTTTTTCAAAAACATACCATTCTGCTGTTACACAAATCAACAAAGCATATGTAATTTTTGAGAAATCAGTACTGATCTGTGGATCTGAATTATATTTTTTGAACATCATATTTTTTGGGGAGAGCATTCGAATAAAGGACCCGTTAAATGCTTTGAAATAAAGTATGGAATATTACCTTTGTTATAATATTTTTAGTAGAAATTTAATGTCATATGAGTCCTTGTTCTTAAAATAGGTACACTGAAGAAAAAAAAGACATACAATTTCGCTGAATGTTTGGTTTATTTGATTACGACAAAGAACACAAGGGTTATCTTCCTAAGGGAAGGGATGCCTTCGTGGAGGACTTTCTGGGGGAAATGACTTGTATACAGTGATATGGGGAGAATCCCCGAAGGCTCCTATGCAACCGGCCCATTCGCGAGATTCAAACTTTACCAATGTTCAGCGACTTTACCGCTCGGCCGCTGGTGGGCCCTGTATTTATGGTATGCTGATTGAGATTTGATTTCAGCATTACTTTTTTTTAGTGTTGTAAATGTTGTGCAGGATTGCTGCTTCTATATGCATATATTAAAACCAATTTAAATCTTATCTTTTTATTCTTTTGTGTTATAAATACGCAATAATTTTTAATGCCCACTGCACAAGGCATAAGTATTTTATTTCAAAACGGCTGCAGTGTGACATGACAATATACAGGGTGATTCAGAATTCATCATCAATATTTGGTGGGAAGTAGAGAATAGGAAAAGAAGGAGATTTCACATAGGAATGCATGGGCGCATATGCCATGAAGTAGGGCAAAATGACCCCAGTTCATAGAAGAACACATAAGAAGGAAGCAGTAAGGAAAAAAAACATTTATTATCTTACATGTAACATTTCTTTGCATCGGTTTTATAGACTTACAAGAGGTGCTCGAACTGCTGACCATGTGCTAGAATGCATGATTCACAACGGCGTTGCATGGACAACCGGATCTTCTGGAATATGCCTGACATTTACATGCATATCTGCAAGTTCATTCCACGTATACCGGTTCATGTTACTTCTACAAAGTCACGTAGTCGAATGACGACTGGCTGCACACGTCACACAGCTATGCTTATGTAGCTGTGCTTTAATATATGGGAAGTTTCGTACACACAGCGCCCATACTTTCCTATGTGAAATCTCCTTCCTTTCCTATTCCCTACCTCCCCACCAAATATTGATGATGAATTCTGAATCACCCTGTATAATATTATACCAAGTGGGTTTAACAGAATAATTTATGAAATTATACTATTTTGCTTTTGCTGTTGATCTAGTTTGACTTTTATGAAGTTTTCTAAATTATTCAATACTTTGTGAATCGAACTAAAATGTGAAACTTTTTAATTCAGTTTTGGAGTGATTAATCAGTTTTACCGTATAAATAAATATTTTTTACTTCTTGCTGTCTGTAACTGTACTTGTACTGTTGTTATTAGGAAAATGCTTTTTGAGTTTATAAACATGTTTTTATGCAGACAGTTGTCACAGATCTACCATCCTTTTGCTGGGACTGTAGCTATAGACTTTTCCACTAGGTGGACAATAAGTTCAAAGCAACGAGCTGTCCATCTGATGATGTAGCATAGCCCAGTGTTCAGTTTAGTAGACTGAGGTGTTTACTAAGTAGATACAGATGAAGAATTTTAACTAACATTGACTAGCGTAAGATTGCCAAAATGTCAAATAAATTTATTAAATCTGCAGTACATAATAACCACTATAGTACAAGAGAACTAATGAATCCTACTGCTACTCGCGCATACTTGAAATTTATATCCTGCTATGTTTTGAGTAATTAAAGATTATACATAGAAAACTGTAAGTACAATTTCAAATAAAATTTGTTTCTTCTTTGAATACGTAAAATAAAGCTTTTAAAATCCTTTTGTCCGCATTATATAGGTACAAACTTATAATGTAATGAATTTGTTGACCGGCATTGTCAAATTCCTGAGAGGGCCGGATTTTTACCAGATTGTTCTTACTGTATTTGTGTTCAGGATTGTAACTAGAGACTTGGGGGCCTCTGAGACAACAGCTGATAATAGAGCTTCTCCTTTACTGTTTCTAACCTGATGGTTTGATTTGATTAATTGAGATTACGGCAAAGCATACTAGGGCTATCTGCCTAAGGGGAAGAAGACTTTCTAAGGGAAACTGAGTAGTATACACGTTAGACGCGGAGAAAACTGCGAAAACACCCATACAGCTAGCCCGTTCGTCTGAAACTGAACTCAGGCCGGAACTAGTGTTCAATGACTTCCAGTGTTCAGTTGACCGCTCTGCCTCTGGTGGGTGTTTCTAATCTGATTCACTTTATGTATTCTAATCATGGTGAATAATTTTCTTTATAATTATAATAGCTTTATGCACTTTAATCAATTGAAAAATGATTCGATAAATATCTCTCCCTGATTTGTGCTACTATGTGATTTTGTATTCCGGTTTAATCCTGTTATATTAAAAAATGCATGATTCGCGAAGCTGTTTGATGTATGAACGTAATATCAAACGCGTGCAATATAATTAAGGTAATATGTTTTCTAACACGCTATTCAGTATATTTTAACTTTGCACTTGAATTATATAAATGCATGTTTTCTAACTGTTAAGCACGGCATTCCTCAGTTATCCATATCTTGACAATAGATGTACTATTTCAGATTACAAAGACTTTGAAACAAGGTTTAAGAACAAGGCTTTAAAAAAAAAAAAAAAAAAAAAAAAAAAAAAAAAAAAAAAATCGGACCGTATAATTAAGAGTAAGACAGTCAAATGTTTCCAGTTTTTTTTCCTTCAATTGGATAGCTTAATTAAAGTTTGCTTATTTTTTTTGTTTAGTCAGAATTATGCGGTTGAGACATTTCATCATAATGTAAGGTATATTTTAATTTTATAGCAGTTATTTTAATTTAAAGTATTATTCCTATCTTTCCTAGATTCAACTTACAGCTTCCTACCAGAATGAGTTTTTAGTATCACATTAAATGCAAATGAGAAAGAGAATAGCATTTAAATCAAAATCAACTGACTTCAGCAGAAAGAGTGAGGATTCCTGAGCAGCGCGCGTTTGCCTTTGGGCTACGTCTCTCTAAGGTATTATTACGCTCGGCCGTATTACGTGCCCTTTGATAGTTCTCTGGCTAATTTAATATTACGCGCAAACTAGTTTAGAATTGCGTTAGCTTCGGCTAAATCTCTTTAGTTAGTCATTATTTCTTACATTTTGAGTTTAAGCCCAAGTGAATGCTTTTTCCTAAGAAAAGGACCGACTGTTCATCTTATTTTAAGTTATGTAAAGGGTAAGTAACCCTTCTTGAGTTTACTTTTCTGTTCTTGGACGCAGTTCACTAGGTTCCTAGACACTTAATTTAACAGAATACAAGTGAAGAACTCTATAATAAGACAAACCTAAGCTTTACGTCTAAGCATACATTGCATTACATGTGCCAGACCGGAGAGTTTCAGTGTCATTTTCGCTCTACGCTTTCCACTCTCGCACATTGTTTTCGGTTCTTTCCGGAGAATAGTGCTATGACCAAAACAGCAACAGCATTCGGACAGTTTCAAAAAAATAGCAAATTTCTATGTTTCCTTTGTAAAGTATTCATTTACATTTATTTGCCAGTTGTTTTATGTTAATTAGCTTTTCCGTCTTTCTCTCTTTCCTTTTGCGTGCCAGAATGCTAATTTCTAGTTCGCGCTTATTCAAGTGAGGAAGAAAGAGACAGTATTTAAAAGAAGGTTTCAGGTGGTAGAATTAGAGCGTATTCCGCCTGCTGAAGGCAACGTTGGCTACTTGATTCTCTTGAGAGCAGTTTATCTGCGGGGTTGCGCTGTTCTCACCGTTAAGTTTGTTACACCGATATTAAATCGGAGCCAACTGGTTCTAAATCGGTTAATTAATCGGAGCCAATGGCAATCCGGTTTTCCTCTTATTTGTTAAATTTTTCTTCGACGCATTGAAAAATACATACATTTGTATGCAAAAAATTGTAAACTTCTATTATTTCTTACTTCAGCTTGACCCTTCGTGGTTCTTTTCCGATAAATTTCGTAGCCTTGCAGAGAAATTACAAGAAATTAGTTTCATCACGGAATTTAGATGTTCTTTGGTCAATCAATTGGGTCTTATTAATTTTCATTTGTGAGAAAAAGCTGTTCACATATAAATGGAAAGCCGAATATTTTTAGCGCAAAAATTCGTAACTGAACATATTTATTTTTTGACCAGTACGAATAAAAGCTAATCAAATCTGTACGATTTATGTTACACTGTAAATTAGTTAGCTTCATTTATAGGTTTTCTAGTGCGTTATTCACAATCGTTTTGAAAGTCATGAAAGTGATCGAAACTTGGTTGTAATATTTCCAACACATTTCAATAAAGACATAATTAAAATATATTGGCCGGCCACCGGTTTGAGACCACTGGTTTAC